TTCCCACCCACCTCCCCACTCAGCAGCAGGGTGAGCAGCAGTAGGGAGGGCCTCACTGTGACCCTGGTTCCAGCTCCAGCAGCCGCTCCGTGGCCCAGCTGCTGAGGCTACGTGATGGGCAGCTGCAGCGCTCGGCCGGGGCCAAGCGCCACATGGAGCGTGACTGACCCCGTAAGCCCATTGTCCTCCCATCTATGCTGGCGCTGCGGGTTGACTCCCTCCTTTCTCCTTGCTTGGTGGGAGCCTCCCCCTGGCCTCCAGCTGCTCCCAGCCAGCATGTACATGCAGGGACCTGCCACCACCCGGCCGTGCTGAGCGCTGAGCGCTTTATCCTTCTTGGGGGCATCTTGTGCATAGGAAGGAAGGGAAATCAGGGTTCAAGTAATCAAAAAAGCATTTCCCTTCCTTGATTTTGACATTCACTATACATTTATTTTTATTATCCCAGGATCTGCATTTTGTATATTTGAAGAGCTTATTTTATTGGCATTACAATTCAAAAATTCACCATCTTCATTCTTCTGATAAAGTCCACACAACTACCCCAGCATCCACAAAGCTGTCACTCATTTATGCATGCATGCCCCAGTTTCATATTTTTCCCCTGGCAGGATGCTGCTGACATGAGGATTAAGAGCCAAAGCCCCATCCTCTGCTGTCATTAATGTTTTTTTACACAAAAGCACTGTCCATGTGTTTGGTTATGTTTTGCAATTCTTGAATACTACTTTTGGGATGGGGTGGGGACTAATAATAAAAAAAATCTGTTATAATGACATGTATTGTGCGGACAGAGATGCAAAGTAAAATAACGTGATCCTTAAAATTAATTACCATAATACATATGCAAATAAATTAACTACCCTCACGAATGTGCAAATGTTTCAGTGCCAGTCCACCAAGTGTTTTTGAATGAGTTCACCGGTATAAAAAAGGTTAGGAACCACTGCTCTAAGGTCTCAATTACACTTAAATATTTTGCTGATATGCTAGGGTTAGACACAGGTCCACTGACACTATAGCTATTCCCTTCTAGTGAAAACACAATTAGACTGACAAAAATGTGCTTTTGTTTCTATAGTTTACAGTGACTTGGGCAGTGAAATAAACTTGCTGGCAAAAACACTCTTTTCCCTGTATAATTAGTGACATTACTGTGTCAAAAAAATCCCACCCCCAATTAACATTTATTATGCCAGCAAAAGCTTTAAGTGTAGACTTGGCCTAAGCCAGACCTTTTCGTAGTATTTTCACCACCGTGCCCACCAATGTTCCCCATAATCTTCTCCATCCATGTATGGAATAAACTTCATGTGCATCAATGAATGTGCATCACCAGTGGAAACAAAAAACCTAATAAGCTTGGTGGCATTCGAATTTCTCCAGAGTGGCTGCACAAGTGCGCAGCTTGTTTTCAGATAGGTGACAGATCAAGCCTACAGTTAGAAATACAGGTAACTCGCTACCTCAGCATTTACATACGTAGCATACCGATGACTATTACTTGTAGGCAGTGGGTACAGGGTTGTTAAGAATCAGTTCTTAAGTAGGAAATATAATGGAAACCTCCACACTCTATATTATAGTTTTAAAGTACAGAATTGTAAGTATTAGCTGGGATGGTAACTGGTTAAAATAGGAAACTTTGGTCACTTTGCACAATAAAGAGGGGTAAATAGCAGTGTCCCCAAAGGATCTGTACTGCATCTAGTGTTGTTCAGTGTACTCATAAATGATCTGGAAAAAGTGCTAAACAGTGAAGTGCCCAGTTTCATATTTTTCCCCTGGCAGGATGCTGCTGACATGAGGATTAAGAGCCAAAGCCCCATCCTCTGCTGTCATTAATGTTTTTTTACACAAAAGCACTGTCCATGTGTTTGGTTATGTTTTGCAATTCTTGAATACTACTTTTGGGATGGGGTGGGGACTAATAATAAAAAAAATCTGTTATAATGACATGTATTGTGCGGACAGAGATGCAAAGTAAAATAACGTGATCCTTAAAATTAATTACCATAATACATATGCAAATAAATTAACTACCCTCACGAATGTGCAAATGTTTCAGTGCCAGTCCACCAAGTGTTTTTGAATGAGTTCACCGGTATAAAAAAGGTTAGGAACCACTGCTCTAAGGTCTCAATTACACTTAAATATTTTGCTGATATGCTAGGGTTAGACACAGGTCCACTGACACTATAGCTATTCCCTTCTAGTGAAAACACAATTAGACTGACAAAAATGTGCTTTTGTTTCTATAGTTTACAGTGACTTGGGCAGTGAAATAAACTTGCTGGCAAAAACACTCTTTTCCCTGTATAATTAGTGACATTACTGTGTCAAAAAAATCCCACCCCCAATTAACATTTATTATGCCAGCAAAAGCTTTAAGTGTAGACTTGGCCTAAGCCAGACCTTTTCGTAGTATTTTCACCACCGTGCCCACCAATGTTCCCCATAATCTTCTCCATCCATGTATGGAATAAACTTCATGTGCATCAATGAATGTGCATCACCAGTGGAAACAAAAAACCTAATAAGCTTGGTGGCATTCGAATTTCTCCAGAGTGGCTGCACAAGTGCGCAGCTTGTTTTCAGATAGGTGACAGATCAAGCCTACAGTTAGAAATACAGGTAACTCGCTACCTCAGCATTTACATACGTAGCATACCGATGACTATTACTTGTAGGCAGTGGGTACAGGGTTGTTAAGAATCAGTTCTTAAGTAGGAAATATAATGGAAACCTCCACACTCTATATTATAGTTTTAAAGTACAGAATTGTAAGTATTAGCTGGGATGGTAACTGGTTAAAATAGGAAACTTTGGTCACTTTGCACAATAAAGAGGGGTAAATAGCAGTGTCCCCAAAGGATCTGTACTGCATCTAGTGTTGTTCAGTGTACTCATAAATGATCTGGAAAAAGTGCTAAACAGTGAAGTGGCAATATTTGCAGATGATACAGTATTTTTCAGGATGGTTAAGTCTAAATCTGACTGCAAAGAGTTTACAAAGGGTTATCACAAAACTGGGTGACTGGGCAACAGAATGGCAGATGAAATTCAATGCTGAGAAATGCAAATTAAGCACATTGGAAAACATAATCCCAAGCGTACATACAAAATGATAGGGTCTCAATGAGCTGTTGCCACTTAAGAAAGATCTTTGTGGGATTGTGGCTGGTTCTCTGAAACCATTTGCTCAATGTACAGCAGTAGTCAAAAAAAGGTAGCAATCTTAGGAACCATTAGGAAGGGGAAGATATAATGCCACTATGGAAATCCATGGTATGTGCTCATACTTTGAACGCTGGGAGCGGTTCTGGCCACCTCTTCTCAAAAAAGATGTTGGAATTGGAAAAGGTACAGAGAAGGGCAACAAAAATGTTGTGGGGTATGGAACAGCTTTCCTATGACGTATAGTTAAAAAGACTAGGACTGTTCATTTTGGAAAAGAGATGACTAAGTGGAGATACTCTAGGTATCTCTAAATTACTAGTTGCCAGAATCTGGGACTGGAGTGCAGGGGATCACTCAAATCACCCTGTTCTGTTCATTCCCTCTGAAGCCTCTGGCATTGGCTCCTGTTAGACACAAGCTATTGGAGTTGAGGAGCCATTGGTCTGACCCAATATGGCCCTTTTTATATTCTTATAAAAAAATCTCATATGAAGAGAGAAAAAGTTGGCATTGTTTACCTGAAAAAAGGAGACAAATCAGAGGGGATAAGAGAAAAGTACATAAAATAACGAATAGTCTCAAGCTAGATAATGAGCTTCCATAACACGAGAACAAAGTTCATTCAGTTAAATTAAAGGTAGCAATTTTCAAACTGATAGAGGAAATACTTTTGCACACAATGTGTAATTAATATGTGGCACTCATTGATGCAGGAAGTCAACGAGGCCAAGAATTTAGCAAAAATTAAAGGGGAATTGGAACTTGCCTATATATTAAAAATATCAAGAGTTACAGTTACTGTTAAACATTTTGGAAGAGCTAGTAAACTTCTGCTTCAGGCCTTACGACAGCTATTAACTATGAAAGATTAGGAGGTATCTTACACTTTTTTTCAGAAGCATCTGATACTGGCTACTGTTAGTAATGGGATACTAGACTAGATGGACTATGAATCTGAAACCATATAATTGCCCCTATGTTCCTAATAACCAGCAGGAAAAAAGAACTATCAACAAATGATTGTAAAATGGGTTCATGTTATGAAACTTGCATAGATCTGACATTCTATAAGTGTGCTAAACAAGTGTAATTTACCTATTGAAAGAACAGTAATGAAGTATAACGGTAAAAACTGCTGAGGAGCAAAATAAAACAGGGAGTGCAGCTTTATCTTATAATCACCAACTATTTGTTTTCTTTGTTAGGCTTGGGTGGTGATTTTGAAATCCCTAGTTTTTACATACTCCCAAGTTAGAGACCCCTGTTTTTTTACTTACACACACATTCATGCAGAATGCTAAATTTAAATGAGTTATTTCTTATTACTTCATACTTCTTGTCAAGCACTTACGCCTGATATGCACTTTACAACATTGTTTTAAGTCACTGTTGGATTTAGACTATAGACTTCTATGGAATTGCACCTGCTTAAACATAGGATTTTAATCCCTTAGTTGCTGTTTGCATCACCGATCTGTGGTATTGTCAGGTTTTATCCTTGGTATTTAGGGAATTGCATTTCCTGGATCTACTCCGTGGCCCTTGCAGTATTGAAAGGTTAAATGGTTCTTTTTATGAAAAAAAATTCACATGAGAATTAGAAGAATGGGTATTATTTTAACTGTAACTGAATTGCATGCTGTTTAGTAATGTGGAAAGCAATAGCTCTGCTTAGGCATAAAACTGCTGAAAGTTAACAAAATATACAGTGTTTTAATGCCAAAATATTTGCCCTCTGGTATAGGTGTTGTGTTCCTATATCAAGTAAAAAGCAATGATACGCTGGTTGTGTACTTTACTTTGTTTTGTTTTTTTTACAGAAATCTGTTTCCTTCCAATCTGGTTGTTGCAGCTTTTCGAACGGTAAGATCCGTGTAGCTTTCAGAAATGGCCCGCACTGAGCAGGCATCCACAAAAATGATTCATGATTGGGGGGGAGGAGGCGTATTTCCAGAAACTCCTGTAGTAGCATGGCACTCAGCTCCTTTTGAAAGAGCGTATGAACGGGGTGCCTTGCTACATTAGGCTCTCTCGAAAATCCCACACAGCGGTGGTGTACTGATTAGCCTGCCGCATGGCTATCATGCATCCCGGTCACAGATGTTCATATGGCCTATAGATAATGATGGGGAACTAAGTCTCGAATGAATAGGGCTAAACCACCAAAGATCTACTGGAATATAGCAAAGAGCCTTACCAGTCATGACTTGTCCCTAGTTGTCTCATTTCAAACCTGACATGCAGCGCAATAGCTAAGCATGGCAGTATGCTAGCTGGTACCGAAAATCATTTAAATTAGATGAGCATGAGCTGCTGAGTTGGAAGAAGATTTTCGGTTTGGGCCCGTGATGGGGTAAAGTTTCAGAAGACCCCTTGGGGATGCTTCCTGGACAAAGCCACTCACACTCACTTCCTTGCTCTCTGGGGCTTCTCACCATTCTGTCCTGCTGGGCCAGCTCACGTGGTCTCCCCCAGCCAAGGCACAGATCTGAGGTTCCCCCTCCCCTCCCGGAGAGCAATATAAACACTGAACCTTTTCTGGTCTGAGGAGAATGCAGTTTCGGGCCCAGGTTCCAGGAAACACTCTCCCCTTCCTTTGAAACGAAAGACAGAACTATGTAGCACTTTAAAGACTAACAAGATGGTTTATTAGGTGATGAGCTTTCGTGGGCCAGACCCACTTCCTCAGATCAAATTGTGGAAGAAAATAGGATCTGAGGAAGTGGGTCTGGCCCACGAAAGCTCATCACCTAATAAACCATCTTGTTAGTCTTTAAAGTGCTACATAGTCCTGTTTTTTGTTACAGCTAGACCAGACTAACATGGCTACATCTCTATTACCCTTCCTTTGATATTTTCATACCCTCTGCTTCTTGTTTCCTGCCCCCTTCCTTTCCCCTCCTCTCCCTTCTCCCCTATTTATTTTGGGTCTGCACATCCTAAACTCAAAACTCTGGTCATCTGAAGAAATGGGCTGTGCCCATGAGAGCTCATGATACTAGTTACATGTTTTGTTAGTCTATAAAGTGCCACCAGACCATTTGTTGTTTTTTAAATTTATCCTGTACAGACTAACTCGGCTACCCCCAAAGCTCCCAAATAAATCATCCAGGTAATCGCCCTTTAACAATGAAAGAGAGAATGTACACAAAGGGAACAATTATTTACACAGGGCATGATAGTAAATAAAAGTAATTTTATTAGGTACAAACTAGGGAAGTAAGCAACTAATCGACTATCCGATAAGCAAAAGCTTATTGGATAGTCCACACACTAGTCGACTAGTCGCTCCCTCCCCCTTGCTGCCTCTACCACTCAGAGTTCCCCGCTGACCCCAGGCTCCACCTCGCATTTCAATCTTTGAAATGCACAAGAGCCCCTGCTAGTTAATCAAAATTTAACATCCCTAGTACAAACAGTAGGATTTAAGTGGTTGCAAGTGAAAACAGGGAGAGCAAACTGAATTACAAATTTAAAGTTGCAGAAAACACATAGCTAGTTCTAATACCCTGAAGCTTATTACCAGTTTACCCTAAATCTGTGCTTATTTCAGCTGAACTTCCAAACCAGGGAAGATCATCTTACCCTGGGTTCTCTGTCTAGTTCATTCTCTCATGAGTGACATGCTAGCTAAAGACCAATAGCCTGAAAACTTTGCATCCTAAATAGCCTTCCTTTTGGATAGGAACTCTTTGTCTCTACCTTCCACTCTTCCACGGTAGACCCTACCAGTTAGGGTGGTCACATGACTTCGTAAGACCAACCACTGCTAAGACTTAAAGGACAAAAAAGGCCGTTTACAGGTGACCATCCAGACATTGAGGGAAACCTTTGATGGCGTTTGTTTGCATATTTAAAACCATAAACCATTCCGTACTCCATATTTCTATTATTTTACATATAAGAATGATACATACACCAGAATAAGATGTATAGATCCAGCAGATTGTGACATAAAAATTGATAGGTTACATGAGGTATTTTGTTCAAAACATCTTCAAGCTATGCATATTTGTATCTATAAGTCAGTTTCATAAAGCAGTAGGAGGGGAATCCATAACAGGTTCCATTTTAGATGTATGTAAAAGATACCTATTGCTGAAGACACTGTATTGCTACAATTCATTCAGATTGCCGAGCTGAAAAATAACCATTGTTAACCCCATTGTGTTTTTTTCTTTAAAGCAAGATCAAACTCCAAAGTTAGGTTTCATATAAAATCCATAGGCCAAAATCCCATATGAAATAAGTGGGAAATATAGCCACAGTATTCCTTGGTGTAGAGGTATTCTGTAACAACCTGATGAAGTCCAATGTGCTACGTGTACAAGGTTTCAGTGGGGAGAGTCTGCTTTTTTTTTTACACTGTCCTTGACACAATTCACCATTATTCAAATTTTTTATTTATAAAAAAAAAAAATCAAGAGCTTTGCTCTTGGCATGTGTTTAATATATTTAGAAGTCAAGGCTCAAAAGTTGTGTGTCTCACACGCAGAACTGGGTCCAATAAAAGCTATTACCTCACCCACCTAGTCTCTCTCAATATCCTGGGACCAACACTGCATACCAAAAAGGCATGCCAATCCTAAAATACGCATCAGTTTTGAAAATGGCAGTGATTACTTTAAATTTAAAATGGTTTGTCTATAAATATTTCTTAAATACTAATGTACTGTAGTGGTGAGTTTCAGTTATTGAGCAACTTAAAGGAATATTGTCACTTGGAAGCTATGCAGTGGAAGATTGTACTCTGGTATTGCCACACAGGGTGGGAACTGAATACCTAATCGCTCTTTTTTCCTGTGCAAGAAGGGCCCAAGTCAGTTTGGGTTAATGGACCCTGTTCTGATCTCCATTGCACGGGTAGGAGCTGGGAATAACTCTATACAGTGAGCCCTCGCTACTTCGCGGTTTGACCATCGCGGATTCACGACTTCGCGGACTTTTTTCATTACGTATGTATATATTATAAAAGAAATATATCGCGGATTTTCCGGAAATTTCGAAAATAGCCGCGATATATGAAGACCCCAAATATTTCGTTAATTCCATTAATAATTAGTAATATCTGCTCTTACTGATGGTTCATTGCATTACATATGACATATAATTCAGTACAGAAAGAAATAAAACACGAAAAGTCTGAATATACATGTTAAATAAATACGTAAATATGGTGTCCCTACTTCGCGGATTTTCAGCTATCGCGGTCGGGTTTGGAACCTATCTACCGCGATAAACGAGGGTTCACTGTATATGATCAGTAGAATTATTTCCGATTCTCACTTGTGTTCCCTTTCTCTATGCAAGTTTAACTTAGTTTGTAGAGATCCTTTTATATCCCGATCGATCTCTGGGATCTAGATCAAAACAGTCTGATGAAATCATGTAGTGGCTGGGTCACCTTACAGTGATGACATGTTGTACTAATACTGGTAGGGTCACAGCAATAATCTGATGGACAGAAAACATGTTATTTGTATCCACAGTATGCTACAGATTACAAGATAATAATACGAAACATCTCTATTGGAAATGTGACATTTGAGAAGGTAAGGCAGTTTCTTTGTATCTATCTATGGCATTTATATGACTTCTATTACTGTAGTATTTGAATGTTTCACGGTCTCTGTCTTTACCTCACAACATCCCTGGGAGGTAGGGAAGTGTTATTACCTCCATTTTGTAGATGGGGAACTGGAAGGGAGAAGCTAAGTGACTTGCCCAGAGTCACACAGCAAGTCTGAGGAGGAGAAGGGACCTGCAGTCACATCCTCAGAATCCAAGGTTAGAGCCCTACCACTGGAGGACTGACCCTTAGCCCTTCGGTTTAGTCCTTTTTTTTTTTTTTATAAATAAAAGAGAAGCCCTCAGACATGACACGTTTCCTCTCTGCATTCTTTAAACCAGTATGTTGGTTGAGATAGTGATTAACCAGATGAAGTTGTAATTACAGATTTAAAGGCTGTAACAGTTGGTTCGCAGCAATGATCACGACAGGTGAAGCAGAACAGAGGCAAATCTGCAAGTAGCCAGAAAACTACATCTGATTTGCAGGTGTGGAGATGTCAGCTGACCTTTTTTTCAAAGGAATAGCCTGCAGAGACTTGAGTGTCATTTCCAGAAGTGGTTAGCATTGGCCTGTCTCTGCTTCCACTCATGGGAATCTTGCCCTTGTACTCCTTGTGGCTCTAAGGGTATGTCTACACTAGCTCGGAGCTTCATTTGCATCTTCCCGGATGCCGCCATTTTAAAATCCCCCTTAGTCCGAACTCCGTGCCCGTGGCTACACAAGGAGTAACGGTAGTTCGAATTAGAGATCCTAATTCGAACTACCGACTCCGTGCCGCATGTAGTTCGGACTAAGGGGGATTTAAAAATGGCGGCACCCAGGAAGATGCAAATGAAGCCCGGGATATTTAAATCCTGTGCTTCATTTGCAACTCCGGTTGCCCTCATTTGCCTACCTAGCTCGAACTACCGAGCTAGTGTAGACATACCCTAAAAGTTTCCACCAGCTTCGTAACTATCTCCTCTGAACTATGCCAGTCCTTAGCCCTCTCGTTGCCTGGCAGGTTATCAGTAGGTGTACACCAGTCCCTGTGTCCCTTTGAAGTGTCCCCTTGTAATGTTTAGCCCTTTATCGACTGATCACTCACAGAAATACCAGCTCTACTGCCCCCAAATGGACAACATACACAAAACTTAGAGTTAAGGTCCTGAGCAACACCAGGTAAATCTTCTAGTGTCAGTCTCTGTACATAACTTCTTACACGGTATCTGTACGTACGTTTCACGACACTAATGTCCCATGTGATCCTGGCTTTTATTTGAGACCTCACATGACGTTCTTTGGTAAACCAGAATGTACATGCCAGGATCAGGAGATCCTTACCATCCCCCTGCCATTTTGTCATTGAGTCCTAGTACCTCACTCCACGAGTTTACCCCGCTGATTCCCCATCAGTAAGCTGCAGTTTTTAGAGTATTTCACTATACCTTGAAAAGACAGGGAAATTGGGGGGCGGGGGGGGGAGAGAAACATGTCCTGATAAACAGGGCTTGACAAACCCCGGCAAGAGCTACTCGCCAGCCCTGCACCGCGCAATTGTTGGGGAAATCTCGCTCCCCTGGGGTACAGAGTCCCCAGAAGGATCCGAGGCTGGAGGTCAAAGCAGTGAGGCAGGAGAGAAATCTAGAAGGAAAACTTTATTATGCATGCATGCAGGCTGACAGCTACCAGAGTGAGAGCAGCAGCAGCCCTGAGAGACAGTTTCAGTGATCCTTTATACAGTATGTTCAGACAGTTTAGTTGTTGATTATTTTCTTTAACATATCAAAGTCTCAGCAAAAGTACTCTGAGACGTTTCTGTTCACACCAGAAGTGCTAGAAGTAAGTTTTACAGTACAAAGGCACATGATAACCTGAGTGAGGAGTCTACAAGGCAAACTGTGACAAAGGTAAGAGTTTACATGGCAATTTGTGACAGACTAGGAGTCTCCATGAAGTTGAGATAGGCATTGTAAGGGTCTTGATTAGAGTTAAGATGATTTCTCTGTTACAGAGAGAGAGACCTGGAAAACTTTTAACCCTTACAGCAGTTTTCTTTTAGAGAGTTTTGATTTCCTCCACAGTCTCCCCTTTAACACAATTGGAGTTATTTGATTTTTCTCCCACACATGCACCAGACCGGCATGTGCGAAGCGCCGGTGAATGGGGCGCACGGACCAACCAGCTGAAATCTACTTGCCACGGGCGAGTAGATTCAGCGGTTTGTTGAGCCATGCTGATAAACTCTTTGAGGAAGTGCCTCTTCATTCCAGTCTCTAAAACTGCCTGACACAGAAAAGCCTTTTCTGTTCTAACATTCAAGTGCATCCCCCCCTAAGAAACTGACAAACAAAGCAGCATTATGGACACAAAACAAAAATAGCGTTCACGAGAGCTTTGTTCCCTGATGATATTCAGGACACTTATCTTATTGCCTTAATTTACGCATTTAGCACGAACATTGATCACTGCTCTGTTCCTCAGTCCTCTCTGAATATCCTACTGTCTGTTTGTGTTTTAGCAGACGGAATGAAATCTATAGCCCAGAAAGGGTCTGCTGGGATCTAGAGACTAATTTCAGTATGTAGTTTTAAACAAAAGAGATGCACATGTGCAATATGGTGTAGACAAGAAATACAACAATTAAAACAGGGATTAGTATTATCAATATCACAGCAGCATCTCAATCTAGGGCCCCATTGTGGTAGGTCCTGTGTAGACAAGTACGTGACAGTCCCTGCCCCAGAAAGGACAGACAGGATGCAACAACAGGACGAAACAGATGGGGTGGAGTTGAGTGGGAGTATGAGATGATAAAATTAACACAGCTGAGCAGAAATATAGCTCTCCTTGAGCATAATCCACAGATACTACAGAGCCTGATCCAGTGGCCATTCAGATCAATGAGAGGCTTTGGATCAGGCCCAATTTGTAATTAACATTAGACTCATAAAAAGGAGAAGAAGGAAAAGTGTTGCCCCATGTTCAATTGAATACTTTATCTTGGTGAACAAAAATACTGGTGTAAGGCATCTACCATCTTCAGATCTAGTCCAGAGTAAGAATGTTAAATATCAGTTAATTCAATAGTCGATTAACCTCATGAATTCTTATCTGTTATCGACTATTCTGTAGTCCCTGGGGGTGAGCCCAAGCAGCCAATGCACTCCGGCCTCCCTTCCGAGGAGCCCCCTGCCACTCTGTGTTGCTGCCTCTATATCAGGAGGCAGGAGCTGGTCCACAAGGGGAGCCTGTTTAAAAAAACAGCCCCATAACGGGAGGAACGGAGGGAGGTTGAGCTCCTGGACTCAGCACCAGCCGGAACTGAGCCGGGCTGCCTGCCCGCCTGGCTCCTAATACACTTTAATCGCAGAGCCACAATGGGGGTAGGTCCTAGACCCAGCACAGAGCTGGGCTGCTGGCCAGCCTGCTAAAAAATGTACTGGTGGGAGGAGAGGAGGAACATGTGTGTAGTCTATAGCATTGACGTATAAGCTTTTGCTAATCGACTACACTATTACATCCCTAGTCCAGAGTTCATCTTAGTGCTGATGCTGTGTCTTGTTGAAATTCAGCTGCTAAAAGGTGTTTTTATTTTCTGTTTGTCTGATCACTCGTCACTAGGGGCAAGGAGACCACTCCCAGTGGAATTAAGGAGGCTCCATCCTAGCATCATTCCAGTGTTTAAAAACAAAACTGTGTATTGGAGAAAAGTCTTTACAAGACACGACTGGCTACAACAGACAGCTATTAATGTCAGACTAAAATGCTTTATGGTGTTCTAGGAAGGAAGCATAGAGTTCCATTGAACAAGAGGCCTGCACTGTGTAAAAATGAAAAGAACACAAAAGAATTCCATCTTTAAAGCTGCCAAAAGACCCATTTAAATCTTCTGAGGGAAAAACAAAAAGGAGCATATTTTTCAAAATACATCCTACAGTGGGCTAGACAGCTGAACCCCAGTCAGCTAAGGATAGGTCTGAGTCCATGCAGCTCACTGGAGTGTTAACTCTTGACAAAATTTGTCCTGGTGCACAGATAATGAAAATTCTCCTCTCGTTTGAGCCCCTATAAATTAGATGCATTTCCACTGTTTATGTAAATGAGCATACTGCATAAATATATATTTAGATCAATCCTTTCCCGTAGGGCTGAGAACTTCAAAATTAAAAAAAAAAATCAGAACAAAATGCTTCCTTTTTTAAATTTTCATCTTGTGAAAAATTTTGAAGTGTTAAAAACATTTCAATCATGAGCCATTTCAAAGTGAATAATCAAAATGTTCTGATAAGGTTATTTCGACTTTATAAAAAACTTTTAATTTTCATTTTGGAAAAAAATTGAATCAACAGATGGGCAATATCTGATGGGAAGGGGGGAGTTCAGTTAGAAAAAAAATTAGTAGCTCTACTGACTCTGCTTTTCCTTATTGCCTGCAAGCAAACTCAGTCCAGAATCTGAGATTCAAGTTGGATTCTTTCTGACTTGTGCATCACTTACTCCTGTGGGAATTCTGCAAAATTCTGCATATTTTATTTGTCAAATAACACAATAAAAATCACCCCATTTTCAATTACTTGTTGAAAAGTATTTTGACATAAATTACCAAAATAACTGAAAATGGTATGACTATATTGTTTGTGTTGTTTGGACAAATTTTGTGTGTGTGCAGAATTTCTCAAGAGCACCAGGTTCCATGTGGCACAGCCAGGGTGTGGGCAGCTCAGAGGAAGTCTGGATGCACAGGGGATTGGTGCAGGGTTCTGGGTAGAGGGGGAGGGAAGAGGACACTACAGGTAGCTCCCCCTCTTAACCTAACCCCTATGCATCAGACACCCCTGCAACCAATCCCCCTTCCCTGCTGAGCCTCACCCCCCACACCTTGAAACTCCACCCTGAGCTTTGCCCCCGCCCTCAAACACCTCCCCTTCTGCAGCCAAGGGGAGTCTCTGGGGTTTCATCTGACCCAGGCCTGGCTGCTCTGTGCGTGGTAGTGGGAAGTCTGTTCTCTTTCCCCTGCCCTGCCCAACTGAGATGAATATGCCTGGGCAACCAGAGAATCCCCAAACCACCACTGATTTACCTCTCCCCTAGGCTGCACAAAACAGGTGTCTGCACTGCTGAGTTTGTGGGGAGGGGTCAGTGAGTTCTAGTGCAGCTTCTCTTTGTTCCCCACGTAGGCCATTTTCTGCAAGGAAGCAGACAATCTGCAGAAGAGGGATTTTTTTTTTTCTGCTGCTCCGCAGTGGTGCAGAATTTCCCCAGGAGCAATCACCATAAGTAATGAGAGATTCTGCAACTTGAGCTATGTTAATAATTCTGCTGTTGATGTCGAAGTCAGAATAGGCTCCAGTTTATTCTCCCATAGCTGTTGTGTCTAATTAACCAACAGAAATTAAAATTACGCATGAATGTCTCTAGAGTCTTGCACGCATGTCTGAGTAGGAAATGCCTTTTTTCCCCCTTGCAGTCACTTTCCTAGCCATGAGGACAGGACAAAACATTGACAATACTCATACTTTAACATATAGAACAGTACAGTAGGCTGTTGCATGAGCAGACAATACCATCTTTCTTGTGGTATCTTCCAAGGTTGCAGGAATCAAGTCCCCTAGTTTGTATCCTAGCGGAATTCCCCATTCTTTAGGTTTGAAATAAAAAAACCTAATACTTGGGAAGAATTTAAACAGTGCTGCTATGAAAGCCAAGAGACACATCAACTCATTTTGCAGATAGCTGTTCAAAAAGTGTTTGCTTTGTGCTCTAATGAACATGGTTTCATACCAGTTTAGACGTTATACTGGTATTTTTTTCTGTATAATTCACCAGGTCTCAAACTTCATTGCACTGTGCCTCCTGTCCTTCCCTCTCCTCCCCAGACAGTACAGATTACTGCATGACCCCAGGAAGAGGGCCTGTAACCTGACCCCTCCTGGTCTGACATCCTTGAGTTTCCACCCTGGGAGTGTGGCTCAGACTTTGGCTTAGGATCTGGACCCCAGCAAGTCTAATGCCAGCCCTGTCAACCCCATTAAAATAGGGTCATGACTCGTGACCCACTGTGGGGTTTCAACCCACAGTTTGAGAATCACTGATAAAATGTTCGCTTTCTCCTATTCTAGACAGTCCTTTGTTTCTGTCTGTGGTTATTCAAGGGCAATCAGAGACTATCAATTCACTGATACACTGTTCAAACAAGGATTCTCTCTTTTAAAATTGCTGGTTTTATTTGAAGTGCATCAGTGTTATGAAATTGTCAACATTTATTTTACATTTTAAACTTCTGTCCAGGAATATATTTATCTTTCTGGTGCTGAGCAGATGTCTGCCTCAAGTAGCCAGAAATCTAAACCTTCTGGAAGTCACTAGTCTAATCTTTTATTGTGCTAAGACGAGCTAATAAAACAACCTGGGATATTAAGCAGCATGTGCTGCCAGTGGGAAAAAAACAAGTTTGTCAAAACGATTGTATTTTTATTAAACCATGAGTGCACTCAGTCAAATACTATTTCGTTGTTATGCCAAACAAGCCCACAGTTCTTCTGGGGAAAGGAGTTCAAAAGGCACAGCAAAGAGGGATTGTCAGCACATCATGAGCTCATTTATGTGAAAAGCTAGATCAGTTTTGTTATCCTCTTACTTGCACCCAATTAGCCAAACTATTTCTGAAAACAAAAAGAATGTTTTCATCGGTGCTGTCTTAAGTCTGATGGGGCTGACCGAGAAAGAGGGAGTAGGAACTTTTCACTATTTTCCATCACCTTTTCTAAATACCATCTGTTGAATCTATCGGGACATATTAAACACCATTTTGGCTCTTCGCTTGTCAGGAATATATAGTGAGTTCAGGAAGCTCTTGCACGTAGCGTATGTTTTTCTTCAGACTGCATTTGATTCAGTAGACGATGTTATATTATGGAAGGCCATAAAAGGCGTAGGTGTCCCTATCAGTCTGCTGGAGTTGACTAGAGAGCTGCATAATAGAACCACTGCCCATGTTTGTCTGTGGAACCGGCTGTAAGCGCCTTTTAAATCAGTATCCGGTGTTACATTGTGGCCTCTGCATTCTTTTGTCAGACAATGGATTTCATAAAGCAGCTTTCCATCCGGTCCCTGGGCATGGAGATCGGTGATCCCTCGCTCACAGACCTTGACTGCACAGATGATGTTGATTTTAGTACAGGTTTTGTGGGGGCGCTCCAGCGTGAGGAGGAGTCAGCTAAGATTGGTCTCCATGTTTCATGGTCAAAGACAAAACTGCAAAATCTAGGACCGGGTCTGCCTGTGACGCCAAACTCTTTGAACAATGAAACCATCAAATCGGATTCCAGCTTTTGCTATTTGGGTTCTATACTTACAGCTCCTCTAGTCCTCACACCAAGGTTCTACATCAGATTGGCCTCGTGGCATCTGCCAGGGGTTGTTTGCAGTGAATATGGCATCAGCATCAAGTTCAGGATTTATTCAAGCTTTATCCTTCCCATACTGTTGTATGGCTGTGAGACATGGACAGTAGGTGGCACAGACTGGACAAACCCAGAGAATTTCTGCACAAAATGCCAAAGTCGTATATTAGGCATAAAGTGGAAAGATTTCATCTGTAATGCAGATGTTTATGGTCATTTGGGCCACTGTCTGCAGGCAGCACCTTATGCTTTTTGGACGTGTTGCAAGGATGTCACGAGACATTCCAATAAACGCTGTTCTCCAGGTGGCTTGTAATATCTGGGATAAAATTCCACCAGCCATGGGTTGGAGGCAGCCTAGAGGCAACCTCCTTTACAAGGGTTCATTAAGTCTGTTCCAGCGTTGGACTCTCAGGCTGTCAAGCCTTAGTGAAGGATCACGACAGCCAACTGGCTAAACATTGAAGACAAATATATCACTAGCTAACCAATAGCAATTAATGGGGTCTAGACTGTGGGAAGCTGTTTGCCTAAAGTTGTAATGGGGGAGGCTGGAAATAAGTATGAATCGGTTTTGGTTCCTCCCACAAAATAATGTGAAGTATTATCAGTAGATATGGGTAATTACCTGCTTTGCAAAAATATAGGAGAAGCACTGAGGCTTTGGTACCTGAACGTGCTCCCTCCCAGGGACGTGGAGAAGAGATTTTAATTAGTGCCCTAGTTCTGCTCCAGCCATGAGTGATTTGTCACTATTTTGCCCTGTGCCAGTCTTGCCCTGTGCCTACATAACTACTACTGATGGCAGTGGGGAAGCTTGTATGTCCACGGACTGCAGGATCAGACCTTAACTAACTCCCATGAAAACGGACACAGAAGCCCATTCCTTTCTAATTCCACTACAGTATTGTTGAGTTGCTTTGCATAATGTCTCTTTCCATTCTGTAGGAGGTTCTGCCATGCTGATTTCAGACTTATCACAGGGCAAAACAACAAGAGGGTCATTTATACTCAATTAGGGATGTAAAATCCTGTTTAAAAAGTTAACTGGGATCCTGTGGGCAGGCTGGAGCGCCCCCCTCCCCCCAACCCGTAATGCAGACAGGGAGCTCTCCAGCCCAGGCTGGCCTACTGCACCGCCGGCTGCTCGGGCCCAGGTAGGCTGCCAGTTAACTGCTTACCCCAGGCCTCTGTGGGCTGGATTTGGCCTGCCAAGCCACCAGCTCTGGCCTGTGGATGCAGTGGGGAGACTCAGGCAGACTCCCTGCCTGCCACTCCCCCCGGGCACACTGATAAGAGAACCTGAAGCTGGGTTCTATTTGAGACGCTGCTTCACACACTGCTCCCACCCCCAGCACAATCCCATTGGCCGGTTTTGGCCATTGGGACCTGCCTGTTAACAGGCAGCTCAGGAAGCACTGTGCCCCCCAGCCCTCAAGCTCGTAGCTGTTCAAAAACCACATGGCCCTTGCAGCCAGTGTGGGGGCAGGGCAGGCAGGGGGTCTGCTTGAGAAGGTTGGTGGCTGGGAGTCAAGCAGGTAAGTCTCCCAGTTAGAGCCTGCCTCTGGTACCCCAACCCTTTGCCCCCCCCCACCCCACATAACCCAAACTCTCTGCCCCCTTCCTGCCTCCATATCCTGTCCCAGATCCTGCACCCCAATCCCCTACCCTAGGTCACAGCCCCCTCCTCTCCGAAGTCACAACCCAAACCCTCTGCCCCTTCTCCTGCACTGCTGCCCCACATAACCCAAACCCTCTGCCCCCTCCTGCCTCCAGATCCCCTCCCAGATCCTGCACCCCAATCCCTGGCCCAGGTCACAACCCAAACCCCTGCACCGCCTCTTGCACTCCAGTTTCCTGCCCCCAGTCACAACCCCCTCCTGCTCTAGGTGACAGCTCAAACCCCTCCACCCCCTCTTGCTCCCTAGTCCACTTCCCCAGGTCACAACCTAAACTTCTGCACCCCAGTTCCCTAACCCAGATCACAACTGCCTCCTTTACCCAAACTCTCTCCCAGCCCCCACACGCTTTCCTGCACCCCAGTCCATTACTTCAAGCTCCTTTCTGTCCCCGACCTCTATCCCAGACCCCGCACCGCCTCCATTAATATGGAAAAGTGCGACCCTCGACCACTTTCCAAATTCTTGGAGTGCTCCCCCCATCAAAAATGTTTGCCCACCCCGGCTTACCCAGTAAGCATCACCACGCAGGAGTGATGCTTCCTGGGTAACTGGTTAACCTTCTACATCCCTATGTTCAATTTCACATTGGAATGATGCCTAACTAACACACTCTTTATTTTGATACCACAGATCCCTGTTGGCACCGAGATCGAAGGGATGAATATTCTGGGCCTGGTTTTGTTTGCTCTGGTTTTAGGAGTCGCTTTGAAAAAGCTTGGTCCAGAAGGAGAAGACCTGATTCGTTTCTTTAACTCATTCAATGAGGCAACTATGGTCTTGGTGTCTTGGATTATGTGGTAAGTGTGACAGTTAATAGGTAACCATGGCAGCAGTGCTTCCTGGTTTAGGCATGTCTGTCTTTACTCATCTAGCTGGGTTTTTGATGCCATCTCCTTCAGAATCAAGAATGAATGGCATAGCATCAGTGCAATCAGTCAGGTACTTCATGGCTGTTTTGCCAACTGCATATCCTCCTGTGTTTCTCGATGCCTTTTGAAAATAAAGACTGCAACCTTGTTATTTGCACATGAGAGGGACCCAAAAGGTCATTTGCGCTGTAGGGGATCTGTCTCTTGAAAAGGACAGTCAGTCCACCAGGAATCAGCTACAGGACTCCAGTTTGATGACTTTAAAAATCAAGCCTTGTTTTAAAAAGTGTCTCTCTTTTGTAAATGTGTAACTGCTGAAATGTGCAGCGGTTACTCGTTTAACCCTGGCGGACGGGAGGCATCTCCATGGAAGCTAGTGCTTGCAGGGAGTCTGTTTAAAAGTTGGCTCTCTGTGCGCACCGGCTACCACCTTCCCCCACCCTCCCCACACACACTGCTGCCTCTGATATAAAGGCAGCAGTGGAGTGGAGGAGGAGCTTGTGTGCATCCATTTAAACATATACACTATCACATTCCTAGTTTTTTCAAAGCACCAGAAGCCTGGGTCAGCACACAATTACGTGCCTAATTCTTTTGCGACGCGACTGAATGCAGAGGCAAGTTGAGAATTTTATACATGGAGAAACCCAGCTTGCATGCAAAGTTGTAGTAATTGCTCATACAAACTAGGTGCATAGTTGTGATCACATATTTTAGTTTATTCCTTTGTCTTATGATTTGAGACTAGTCTGCTGCTGAAGAAGTGCTTGGTTACAGAACGCAGAGCTGTGTCAAAACACCACTCAAAATTCCAGTCCCTTCATATAACAAGAGTAGTTAGGAGTTCCCATTAGAGTGACAGAATGGGTGAAAATCTTGACCCTATTGAAGTCAACAAGTGTTTTGTTATTGACTTCAGTGGAGCCAGGATTTTACCTTAGATCTTAGGCCTCATCTCATATAGGGAAAAACCGCTTTCATGTTCTGCGTAGGAAAGAGTCAGTACTTCCAACATACAGAGAGGGTTGCCAATTTTAGATGGCTATATTCCTGAGATTTTATCACATGATGTAGCTCCAAGACAATTGTGGGGGGTTGGCAACTCAACATCTCATTTACGTTGCTAGTCTCCTAGACAACCTTCCTCCCTCATCTGCTAGATAGCTGTGTATTTTCTAAGGAGGCTAAACCTCTGATGATAGCTTATTTTGTCTCCTCCTGTAGAATTGTAATTAGCAGAACCTCACCTTCACCCACTTCTCCGACGTCCAGCCATTTCCAATCAGTGAACACTCAGAGCAGTAAGGCACACATATTTGTGTGACATTTGCCACAAGAGAGTTTTAGGACCTTGCTAAAATGGGAAGAGAACTAACTATCCTAATAGCGCAAGTATAGAAATTAAGCCATAAGTACAATTACAGTAAAAGATAACTGGAACCAGGTGAACTAATTTGTCCCAACATTTTACAAAAGTTTCAGTCAACCATAAATGTTTCCAGTAAATACATTTTTAATCCAGTGGAAATGTCAGTTTTTAAAAAGTAAGTATTCCCTTGTGGTCGTTGCAACTTGACCAGTGCAATATTAAGGCTATAAAGGAAAGTGAATCCATTGATTTGTTTTTCCATTGTCTTAAGCCAAGAACACATCATAAAGTGAAGAAACAGCAGAAAGAGGAAAGTGAGATTTTAAAAACTCTTCCAGGTTTAATAATTTAACATGTAAAAGTAAAATCCAAATCAGAGCCCCAAATGCCATGCCTTCCTTTCATTACGTACTGCATATTGAATGGCTGGAGGTTACATCTTGTATAAGAGACTCAAACTACCTGTGGGGAATATCATTCTGTCAATCAAACAACGCGTAGGAAATAGCATCTTACTTTAGTTGGTGAAACTGCTGTAGAGAAAACCAGCCACCATTCAGGAAGTCTCTCACATTATGCTCTGTCCTTTCCTAACTCCGTGTACATACATCCTGAAAGTTTTTCCACTTGAACTGCTGTTTTTTCCCCCCAAGAGATGAAATAGAGTCAACAAAACATGTGACCTTATAAATTCAGACCTTTATGTTCATTTCTATCATTAGGGATTTAACTTTAAAAGTCTCAAAGCCGCTTAAGGCTTTCACTCTGAAGTGTAATTCCTAAGCTATCAAAACCTGAGAGGTGATGGTTCTTGTACTGGGCTCATTATGAAGCTAACTTTCCTGACATTAATCACCAAGTGTAATCCTTTTCTTTGTGGATTATTGGAATGCCTCTGAGCCCGACGTGGCAATGTACATTAATTCTCACTTCTGCTCCTTCCTTCTCTAAGGCTGCATTCTCCTGGTATTTATCCAACATCTCACACTTCTCAAGTAAGCGAGGGAAGGGCAAAACTGTTGTTATAAGACAAGTGGCTTGAATTGCTTCTCACTCTGAATCAAGCCCAGCCACCAAATCTTTAAGGGCTGTTGTCAGCCAGCGTTTAAAATAAATTGAAATCAGATGGGAAGCCCTTATCATACCAGCCAAGAAGTGGGAGCAGCTGCTCACCCAGACCAGCTGGGGGACTGGGGAGTTGCACAAGAGGTGACATTAGTTCTCTGAGGGCAGGGGCAGACTGTAGAATGGAAGAGGAGCGGACATGCCAGAGAAACTGCTCCTATACTGATTGACCAGCTATAGCATGGGGACCCCCAGGACTGCAGTAACCTTTGAAACTGGAGTAGTAGCTGCTGAGCTGCAGTGAGAATTTCTTTCTCCAAGCCTCCAGGGAATTCCCTAGCACACAGCGAGGCTGGAAATACGTTTGGGGCCTAAATGCAGCTCCCAAGAAGTTCCCTCTTTGAGGACTGCAAACTGTTGCTGACAAAGGAAACGACAAACACGTTCTTGATGTTTGAAGATTTGGTGTGTCCATAGATAGGGGTGTGTGGAGAGCTATGGGCCCCAGTAAGACTCCAGACGTTCCATTGTTGTAGAAAAATACACACGTTAAATGCCTTCCCTGGACTAGCCCTGTGCCTTCTGGGCTTCAGGAACTCACCGGGCATCTCACTAATGGAAAAATCTCCACAATAGACATCTTCTGCACTCTCTCCTATGGGCATGCAATCTCCTGGAGCATTCCTACACCATCTCCACTCTGGAGGGCCACTTACAGCCTTCCTCGATGTCTCTTTCAGGCCAGGGGCCAGTGACAGCTTATTCATTCTGACAACATCCCCTTTAGCAACTACGAGAGAACTCAGGCCCTGGTCATTTACTTAGCATTAGTGCAAGGCCCTCATGTTCTGTTTCTGCAGGCATGAAATTGACTGCAGATCCCACCTTTGAGGAGGGACAGAGTGCTGTATACAGGTTTCCTGGCAGGAAGAATTTGGCCCCTAAAAATGAAAGCACCATGTATCTTTCTAAGGCTTTGGTTTAATATTAATCAAAAACAACCTTTGTTTTTCTTTATACAGGTACGTGCCTATTGGCATTACGTTCCTTGTTGGAAGCAAGATTGTGGAAATGGAAGATATTGTCCTTCTGGTAACCAGCCTGGGAAAATACATCTTTGCCTCAATTCTGGGTCACGTCATCCATGGAGGAATCATTTTGCCACTTGTGTATTTTGCATTCACACGCAAAAATCCTTTCAGCTTTCTCCTGGGTCTTATAACACCGTTTGCAACGGCCTTTGCCACTTGTTCAAGGTGTGCTAGTGTGCTTGTTTCTGATACATAATATTATGCTAATTCCATGTTTTAATTTGAATAAGTTTCAGATGCAAGTATTGGCCCTGCAAAGGACTGTGTTTAGGCATCTGGTACCTTCCTGACAGATACCCACTGATGTCAGTGGGACACCTGAAAGGGTAGCTATGCGTCCAGGTGTAACCTTTTGCAATACTGATGCCATTACTAGCAGTGAGGTGCAGCCCTTATTTCATCAAATGCCACTCTTCAGCAACAAGGCATGAAAGACTGGGGGATGTTTACTTTCCCATTTAAAGAAAAACTCCCCTAACCAGGCAACACTACTTTTGCTTTTGCTGAGAATTTGCAAAGCGGTTGACCAAGATTTGCAAAAGGAATTAGTGATCTGGGGAGACTCAGTTTTACGCTACCCAATTTGAGGCCCTATAAAATATCCTGATTTTCAGAAAGTTCTGAGCGCCCACCTGCCCTTTGAAAATCAGGCCCTTTTAGGAACTCTCAGATCAGGCATCCAAAGTCACTAGTCAGTGTTGAAAATCGTGGCCTAGAATTCTGACAGCAGTAAACCTACAGCACATACCCTGGGTCGGACAGGGCAGTACTGCTCCATGATTGTCTTTTTTTTTCTTGTCTCTGTGTAGCTCAGCTACTCTCCCATCAATGATCAAGTGCATTGAAGAAAACAATGGCGTAGACAAAAGGATCAGTAGATTCATCCTTCCTATTGGGGCCACAGTGAACATGGATGGAGCCGCAATATTCCAGTGTGTGGCAGCTGTGTTTATTGCTCAGCTGAACAATGTTGACCTCAATGCTGGACAAATCTTTACTATTCTGTAAGTTGCTTGTGATTCAAACCCCATCTCCCTGGCCCCAAATGCCAATGTGAAGCCTTGGGTTCTTCTGGTTTTAAACACAATTTTTTTAAATACCTGGCAGTCCAAAGGTCAGACCCATGGTTGCCAGTTTTGGTTGGACCGACCCCCGGAGATTTAATCCCATGACCTAATCTTTAATTCCTGGAGGGTTAGCAACATAAACCAGGCCGCCAAACTGCAGTCTGTAAATGGCCATGAAATATGTTATCTAACAGTACAACAGAGTTTGATGTGTATGGGAATTTAGGGAGGTTTTATAAATGTGGAGATTAAGGGCTTGATCTGAATCTTAAATGGATCTAGTGCATCTCAAAAATGCCATTTGTATAGAACTTTCCCCATCTTAACACTCCCCTTTCCCTGACACCTGAACATCAAGCTAAGTAATTTCATGCCCCCTTCTCTGTGTCCTCCATATTCCAAGCGCTCCCCCTTCTCACAGCCATCCCTATTCCTGCTATTGGCTTCCTGCCCTGGCTCTTTTTCCGACAAGCTATTCATTCGGATCATTAGCACGCCTCTGGGCAGGACCAGGTCTAATTCTGGCTGCAAAGCATCCAGAACACTTGGGTTGATGTTATTTTGTGCACATGTGGCAGAAATACACTCTGATGCATGTTGTTCATCAGAAAATACACAGGCAGCACTAGCAGCAGAGTCTTACTTGGACAGCTAGTTTTGAGGCTTGCAAAAAAACAGCTCTCCGTACCCCCACAGTATTCATAGAACACTAGAACTGAAAGGGCCTTGAGAGGTAATCAAGTCCAATCCCCCGCCCTCACAGCAGGACCAAGCACCATCTAGTCATCCCTGATAGATACCTATCTAAGCTGCTCTTAAATATCTCTGATGGAGATTCCACAACCTCCCTAGGCAATTTACTCCAGTGTTTAACCATCTTGACAGTTAGAAAGTTTTTCCTAATGTCCTATTGATATTCATGATTGGACACCAGAATACACAGCCCGATACGGAAGAATTTGCAGACAGAAGTTACATTTGCCCCCTCCTTTTGCTTTGGTTAAAACTGCCACTACAGGAAAATATGCCCTGTCCCTATAGAATGGGTGTGTTACTGAAATGGCACTAACTCCTGTTTGAAAACATTCTCAGTGTGACTGCCACTGCAGCCAGCGTCGGAGCAGCTGGAGTTCCAGCTGGAGGAGTTTTGACCATTGCTATTATCTTAGAGGCCATTGGACTTCCTACGCACGATCTCTCCTTGATATTAGCAGTGGACTGGATTGTGTAAGTACTGTGTAATATGCATTATCAGCTGCTGCATATGTGGTTGAAAAAGTAAATATTCTCTCGTGATCATTGCTGGGGGGGGGACGGGACCAAAGAAGTCTGGAAAATAAAAACTCAAATCACCAAGTTGTGTGTTGAGTTTACCTTCTCCCTCCCACACACACACGCTTCACCAGAAGGCAAAGAATAACACCACTCAGTTTCAGTTATTAGGAACTGTGGGGCAGATCCTAAAGTACTTATTCAAATTTTACTTAATGTTTGCTGAGGTGAAAACTCCCATTGGCTACAGTTTCCTTAAGAGGAATTATTTAGAACTATACAAGAGGGTATTGCTAGAAATTAGAAGAAAAAGAACAGAGGCTGAATAATGGGGAAAAGCTTCCTAAGCATCCATTAGACTTGTACGATGGGGAAAGCAATACGTGGTCTGTTGCTTCAGACATTTAAAACTCGATTAGAGAAAGGACCAGGGAATGTAAGCTACAGTCCCACATTAGCAGAGGAGCGGAGTCAGGGGACAAGCAATGATCATCAGATGATAGAGCCAATACGCTTGCATTAACAGGTTATTGGTGCAAGAGCAGTGTGTGCATTGATCATGAGTTTAGTTAGCTATTTTTGCACCTCTCCTGGCTTGCTTGTTGGAAAGCCAGGTAGGGCCTAAATTCTGATGTTCTTCTTCAGTTCTGCTCAGTTCTTACCAACACAAACCTCCCTTCTGAAATCAGGGGAGATCATCCCACAGCTGGGCAGATCGAAGCGGGAAGCATTTTATCTAGCTGTTCATACTAGCTTCTTGTTACTCCTAGATTTAGCCCCTCGTACCACCCTGAATAACTCCACTCCCAGGAGAGACTCTGTATAGCTCAGTTGAGTGACATGGGGACCAGCTGCAAATATCTGAAAGGCATAATTAGCTCTCACGTCACTGTATTGAGCTATCCAAAATGGGTCTCTTCGCCTTTCCTTTCTGCTCAAGCAATATCTTATGGCCTCCAGTCTTAGGGTACGTCTAGACTACAGGGTTTTGTCGACGGAAGTTTTGTTGACAAAACTTCTGTCGACATAGAGCGTCTAGACACATTCAGTTCTGTCGACAAAGCAAGCTGCTTTGTCGACAAAACCCTGTAGTCTAGTCGCAACCCTACAGGCAATAACACCTTCTTGTCGACAGAACTCTTGTCGACAGAAGGTGTTATGCCTCGTAAAATGAGGTTTACCAGCGTCGACAAAACTGCTGAGTTCTGTCGACGTTATGTTGACAAAACTCAGCGGTAGTGTAGACGCAGGTATAGTTTTGTCGACAAAAGTCCACTTTTGTCGACAAAACTCAGTAGTCTAGACACACCCTTAGACTCATGGGGTATGTCTACACTCGGTAGTTTGAGCTAGGTAGGCAAATGAGGGCAACCGGAGTTGCAAATGAAGCCAGGGATTTAAATATCCAGGGCTTCATTTGCATCTTCCCGGGCGCCGCCATTTTTAAATCTCCCTTAGTCCGAACTCTGTGCCCATGGCTACACGCGGCACGGAGTAGGTAGTTCGAATTAGGATCTCTAATTCGAACTACCGTTACTCCTCGTGGCTTCATTTGCAACTCCGATTGCCCTCATTTGCCTACCTAGCTCAAACTACCGAGTGCCAACTCCCAGTCATTCCTATTGGCCTGGGCAGCAGAGTTTCACCCACCTACCTACTCTTAATGGCTCTAAGCCCACTCCTCACTGAGGGCTGAACTGTGATCTGTGTATTGTAAGCCTCCTCCACACAGTCACCTTCCTTCCAAAGTACCCAGCAGGTTGCTGGAGTCAGTACTGCACAGAAATCAGCTTTGTGGTTGCATCGTATATGGTTATAATGATGAGGCTGGGTGTGGGGATGGGAGTAAGCCGGGGACTTATTCGGTGCTTCACAATAAAATAAGTACTTAGTACCAAGGCACAAGTTAAGCAGATGGTGAAATTAGGCCCAGAGCAGGCTGAGTGAGGTTCCCAAAGCACAGAGGAAAGAAATGGGCCCATTCTTACCAGACAGCCTCTCTCCCGCAGCAGAGCGACGCTATGATCATTAAACCTCCTTCCCTTGTGCTGAACCCTTGTCACTGTAAATTGCATTGGGTGGCCAAAGGGCGTCAGGATGGGGTGTGGTGCCAAAATGGAGACAGAGACACTGGTGACGGGTGAGTCTTTGTGCCTGGTTCCATAGGCACCTGAACATTCTGGGTTGGAGGGTCTGACTCGAGCTAGGGTTTCACTGCGCTGAGGGGAGGCTGGAAGAGGAGTGGAGCAAAGGCAGAGAAACAATCCAGTTCAAGGTGGATGAGAACCGGGGCACGGTGGGGCAGAGGCACAAATAGAAAGGCACTCAATGCGGGAAGAGGAAAGGCATGAGCAGATGCAACAGGGCCCCACGCTGCCTAGCTGAGTTTTTGGGTGACGGGGCTCTTCCATAGTATAGGCTTCCCTTTCATAGAGCCCAGTTCATCCATAGCCGCATTTGCGGACACACCGATCGGGGGTTTCAGGGGCTCTAAGAGCCCAGCAATTGAAAAGGGTCTGGGACTCCCAAACGTCCTTTAAATCGCAGCAGGAGCTCCATGCAGCATGCTCCAGGCAGCACTGGGGGCAGCTAGCCTCAGCCATGACCCTTCCACTGGTGCAGAGCTCCCCCCTCCTGCTTTTCCCATGGGCCTGGCAAGTCTGTCAGCCCCACTGCACACCTGGCAGCCTGTCCAACCTCTCTGATGGAGGATGAGCAGTGGGTCATGAGTGGCCATTCAGGGGACTCAAGTTCAGAAATGGAGTCATGGCTCTCTGTTCCTATGCTGGTGGAGACAGCTGTGGAGGGAAAGAAGTGGAAGCCTGTGGGTAGTGGAGAAAGCACATCACTTGTGCACCCTCCCCTGGCTAGAGGCCACATGCTGGACTGGCAGCTGAAGAGGAAGTGTAGACCAAGTCTACAAAACATGCGGCTCATTTGTTTGCGGCCCACAGGGCGGTTTGGGTTTACCAATATGGCCACCACAGGGAATGCGTTTCACAATGGCGAGGCATCTCCCAGGTGGGGTGAGCACTGAACGACGCAGGTGGACGGGCTGGCTGTTTCTAGCCCCCAGGGAGGGGGTGCCGGGAGCACTGGGGCATTGTGGGAAGTGCTGGCTGCTTAGCCTTGTGGGCAGAGCCTGAGCGGTGCTGACTGGCTTACAGTGGCCATGTGTGGGTCCGGCGCCGCAGCTTAAGGCTTAATCTTTGTATTTGTGCCCGTCAGTGTGAAAGAAGCTGTTTGCATATATATTTGCATGTGTCTGCAACCACACTTAAGTTGCAACCCTTGACAAGTGCTGTGAGTATTATTGTAGCCCCCAGGGCTTCCAAAGTTGAGTAGCCCTGGCTTGGAAATTGAGTCTGGCTGACTCCAATAGGTGGCGCTCCCCATAAAACACTATATTTCCATAATACTTAAACTGTCCTGATACCTGTAGAGAATGTCTAATGCCCTGTCTGTGCAGCAAGGAACTGAGTATCCCTTCTGTCACCGTTGACCTCAGGCCGGAATGGCCCCCTGTATTAAATTGTATCTCTTAAATGGTTGTGTATGTGCTTTTGCCATTGACCAGGGACCGAACCACCACTGTGGTGAATGTTGAAGGAGATGCCCTGGGAGCAGGTATCCTTCATTATCTGAATCAAAAAGAAACGAAGGCGAAAGAACCGGAGCTAAACGAAGTCAGCGTAGAAGCGATTCCCAACTGCAAATCTGAAGAGGAAACGTCACCTCTGGTAACACACCGGAACCAAGCCCCCGCCCCAGCCAGCACTGTGGAACCAGAGTCAAAAGAATCAGTCATGTGAACTGGGGGAAAGCTTGCAAATAGATGGACCGCTGACTTAACACGCTAGACCACTGCACTGCTGTTAGGGACCGGCTCTGGGTCCTCCTCTTGAATTTCAGTGGCCATGATTTGAAGCTACAGACTTGTTAGGCTTGTGTGTCTATCTCCCTGATGAGAGCTATCACTTTATCACAATGATGTTATGTTTCCTGCTTAAACATGTTTGTGTGTGATGTGTGTACATGTATATGACCACAGTACCAATAAGGCTTCTTGTTTTGGGTTAAAAAGTCATTTATTAGTACAAATCCACGTGGAGGGGGAAAGTAGCTAAACAGAGTGGACGTACTGGTTGTGGCTGGAATCTGCACCACAAACAGCTTTGAGAGCAAGGCAGTGCCAGTATTTTCTCAGAAACACCTCTTTAATAGTATCCAGTGCAAAAATAGAAAGCGCATTTCCAGCATCCCCTCCCCGCATCCTTTATGTATCTATAACAGCAACTAAGTGCTGGCAATCAGAAATTTTAAAACACAAATTAATAGCTGACCTCATTCTATTGTCATACAACTTTATCAAAACATCCCCAGGAAATAGGAAGTGTTCGCTCTATTATCCTAATTTCGGTGATATAAAATCAACCCTGCCACTATAAACTCTATAATAACAAAGCCTGGATCCAGACAAGACAAAACGATCTGCTTTAAATCAGACAAACCAATTTTCACCACATTTTGGGAAAGTATCTACCCATGGGCTGAGAACTTCTATAGCATGTTACAGTAGAAATGTGTCTACAAGAGACTTATCTATAACATTGTCAGACAAAGAATTCAGCTCTATGCACCTAAACACACTCAGGCATCTGCCGCCACTACATTTTTTTCATGTTTCTTAATGGTGCGAATCAGACTTAGTGGGATGTTTTCTTTCCCAGCAAAATTTCTCCAACAAAGTCTGAAAACTCAAAATGTGTAAACTGATGAAAAATCCAAAGCATTCTACCCCAGCTGTCCAGAGCATCCTGCTGGTATGAGAGGGAAGAAGGGGGGTTTCCTAGTCATATGGGCTATGTCTACACTCGCGGCTTCTTGCGCAAGTAATATGCAAATGAGGCTAAGCATGGAATATCGCCGAGCCTCATTTGCATACCTAATGAGCCACCATTGTTTTCAGCAGAGGCTCTTGTGCAAGAAGGTGCATCTACACTGCCCCTTCTTGCGCAAGAAAAACCCTCTTGTGCGATGCCGTTACACCTATTTTCAGGAAGAACGGCATTGCGCAAGAGGGTTTTTCTTGCACAAGAAGGGGCAGTGTAGACGCTCCTTCTTGCACAAGAGCCTCTTCTGAAAACAATGGTGGCTCATTAGGTATGCAAATGAGGCTCAGCGATATTCCACGCTTAGCCTCATTTGCATATTACTTGCGCAAGAAGCCGCGAGTGTAGACATAGCCATGGAGTCCAGTGAGGCCGGGTAATCCCAGCTTTCTGGCTCTTGGGACAGCTGTGCCTGCACTTCTCTATATGCTGCTGGTATTCCTCTCTCTTCTAGCAGCATGGCCAGCTTGGTGCATGTGCTGCTGTTGGACCCTGTGGCTGCAGCAGTGCATTCTCACCATGTCCGTTCTGATCATAGGCCAGGCCTCGGCGCACGTTGTAGTTCCTTATTCTGCTTGAAACTGAGCTAGCAGCACCCCCCCCCCCCCCCCCCACAGGGTCTAAGCCACAGCTCCCTGAATTCAGTGACCAGACTGCCACAGAGACAGAGCCTTGGAATGAACTCTATTCAAAGGTGGCGGGGGGCTTCCCTTTCCTTCCAGCCCCGGCTCCCCACTGGGTGAGCCTCCCAGGCATGGTTAGTGTGATTGTTGCGCGTGGAACAGAAGGGAGCTGTTGTGCTGCTGGTGGCTGATCTTAACAGTGAACATTTACCCTAGTTTAAAGGCAGTGATGCTCACAGAGACAGAGCCTTGGAATGAACTCTATTCAAAGGTGGCGGGGGGCTTCCCTTTCCTTCCAGCCCCGGCTCCCCACTGGGTGAGCCTCCCAGGCATGGTTAGTGTGATTGTTGCGCGTGGAACAGAAGGGAGCTGTTGTGCTGCTGGTGGCTGATCTTAACAGTGAACATTTACCCTAGTTTAAAGGCAGTGATGCTCTTCCCTCTCCCTTAGTCTTCCTTTACACGCTGATACACAAAGGCTACGTCTATATACTGCAGGCTTTTTGCACAGGAACTGTTTTGCGCAAGAGTTCTTGTGCAAAAGGTCTTCCACAAGAGCGCGTCCACACTGCCATGTGCTTTTGCGCATGAGAGCTCGGATGGCCATGGCAGTGTGGACGCTCTCTTGTGCAACAAAGCTCTGATGGCCATTTTAGCCATAGGGTTTTCTTATGCAAGAAATTCATATTGCCTGTCTACACTGCCTTCTTGTGGAAGAGCTCCTGCACAAGAGGGCTTATTCCTCGTGGGGAGAGGAATAACTCTTCCGGAAGAAGCCCTGTTTTCCGACACTATACTGTAACTAAGTTTTTGCGCAAGAACAGCGGTATAAACCAACAGCCTCCTTGCAGGATTCCCCTTTGCCCAGTCATTAACATTTGCTTGTCATCCAGCACCTGCCAGGAGCCGCACCATCTTACAGTCAGTCACCTGTAAGATGCCTCCCAGTGCCTCGCAGCTCAGGAATCCAAAAGGGGCCTTCTAGCCTGTCCTGCAAGCCAATACACTAGGGAGAGTTTGAACTAGAATGGGGCAAGTCACAGTGAAGAGCCCCTGGCCGAACACTCTGCCCTCCTATTACTGGGGTTCCAACCCAGCTGCCTTTGTCTCAATCCCCACTGCAGCAGCATGGCATGGAGTAAGGGGTATTCTTTGGTTCATGTGGTCCCCGGATACTGAGGGCCTTATACAGGGCAAAGCTCTTAGCTCATATTCTACATGGTACTTGATAGGTTGCCAGTGCCGTTCCAAAAGCAAAGGTGTTTGTGTGTTGCCCCAAAGGAAGTACCATGTAACCACATGAGCACCAGAATGGGAATTCTGCACCAGATTCAGTTTCTGGATAGATTTTAGATGGAGCCTCATATAAAGCATTGCATTTGCTGAATTTAAGGTGCTAGGATATTTAATCAAGGCTAACACTCCCGCTCATGCAAAGAAGTGCCATGGGGTTTTTTATGGACCACAAGATTGTGCCAGGATCATTCTTAATGTTCAAGAAAACTGGAATCTTGCAGGTAGCAAAACTGTATTTTAAGCTTGCAAAATGAGCCAGTCGTTCCAACGTTGTAATGTGGCAAGAGACAGCCACAAGATTCCTTGGAAACGGGAACATTATTTCCTCAGTGCTAGTCAAGCTACGTATTTCTTTTGATAATCCTAATGTGTCTCGTCTGGCTTTTATACATGATGTTACTTGCCTTAAACATTGTGCATACGTATGACGACGGTCTCATTTGTGCTTGGGGGTTCCTTTTGTTTGTACTCTTGAGTTGCATGTACTATGCAAAAACTGTGATGGCTCCAGGATTGTAGCATCTTTACCGCAAACAACACTGTTCAGTTTACCATCTGTCATTATTGTGACATTGGGCCTGATCCAAAGCCCAATGAAGTTGACAGGAAGCTTTTTGTTTGCTTCACTTGGCATTAGACTGGATCCTTAAAATAAAGTAATTACAAAAAAAATTATCTAAAAGAGTCTGTGCTTATGGTAAAGTAATGTCCTGGTATTAAGATATAGAACTTCCAATGCACCACCCTGTGTTACACAAAGAAAGCCATAGTTCAGAGCATTTTACTGGATTTGTGGCAAAGAGACTGCACATCAGCAGACAAAGCAGCTGTTATATACTCTGCAGCCCCTGCCAGGAAAGCCAATCACATCTGTATTGCTGCCAGCATGCAGCACCCGGATTGCTTTGTCCTGGTGATACAATTTGTAAGCAATTCCCATGCCTTGGCATTAAGGTATCTAATTTAATTGTACACTTTCACAGTTCCCTTCCTGGATTTGTCTCCAGACTGGAAAAATATGAGGAGTCACTTGATTTGAATGCCATTAACATACTAATTCCCTTGTAGGAAATAAGTAATTTTTGGCCTTTGAATCAGGGAAATTCTGGTTCCTCCTCCCTGGAGTCACTGTACTCCAGGTAGCCCTACCTCAACAGACCATCTTGTGTGGTTGTGCTCTCCCTCTCCTGTGTGTGCCCTGCCCAGGCAGCTCTAAGGGGAAGGAGCCAGGAGCGTAACAATATAGATTATGTGCCAACCTGGATTCTCCTCTCTCATCTATTTATCAGTGGTGCGGCTGCACGGATTCCATTAAGATTACTGTTCATTTATACCAGTGAGAGGCAGAGAGGGACCACAGGTGGAATTAGAAGATCTACTAGATTATCCACCGATCTCAGACTCTGACAGAGTAGTGGGTTTTTTCAGGCACAAAAACATTGTTTTCTTGACATTGCATTATTCCACTAAGCAGTATTTCTCCAGGATGACCTCACTACGCCAGCCAACCAGCCTGCAACACTCGTGCAAATACCGATTGTGCTGGTGGCACTTCCGAGTGTGACAGCAGAGAGGAGAGTGTCGTCGTTCACCAGGTGGAGAGAGGCTCTTGGGAGACTCCAGGGAACCTGCCTTTGCTTTGGGTAGGAGGCTACCTCTGATGGGAGTGTAAGCGGTCTTGCTTAGTCCTGGGCCCTTGACTATTGCTCGGGCCTACACATACTAGCCCAGTGGCCCCTTTCAGGCTGGAGGAGGCCTGAGGGTGGGGCAGGCAAACAGTTCTCAGAGTCAGTGACAGCCCAGGCTCTGGTTCAGGGCAGGGCAGGCAAACAAACAGTAGCTTGGCTCAAATGGCACCCCCAGAAAGTCTGAGGCAGAGGTAGGAATCAAGCTCGACTCTGATTCCCAGTCCAGTGCATTAGCTAAAAGACTGGCCTTCCCATCCAAATAATATGTAGTGGATGCATAAAAATCATTCTGGGGTTGATAAATTGTTCAGGGAATATTGCTGTTTGGGGTTGAGAAAAGATGTCACAGCCTGGTTTATACTGGGTGGAAAATTAAAAAATAAAGAGTTAATATGTAAAGATTCACCTTTCCCTTGAGATGGAGTTCTCCCAGGCTCAGAAACATAAACTGAAGCTCTCGTTCGACACATATTCCCTCAGTTACCTCCGAACAGGCCTGATTCTGAGGTTCTGAGCATCCGTAAACAGCAGCAAGTGCTAGTCATATTTTACCACAGACTTCACTAAGAGTAGAGGATCCTCAGTACCTCACAGGATGAGACCACTTTTCCAGGAAAGAAAAGACGCAAAGAGCCAAAAAGGCTACAGAAAAGACCCAAGGGGCCAAAAAAGCAAGGCAGGCTGGTCTACTCTTACAGAAGGACAACCAGCTACAAAAACC